TATTATTTACCACATCACCCAGTACATCCAAATATGATGTCAAAAATTGCGGAACTGTTTTTGACATTTTTTTCAAAAACCAATATAGAATTATTCCTTACTTTGGCTAGCACTGTATATAAAGTTTACAATAATAACTATCATTAAAAAATATTGATTTCTAAGGTAAGGTTTGACAATTAAATATTTGGTTTCTACGGGGATTTGAAACCAGGACTCTTGGCTCAACAAGCCAATGTCTGGCTACTAGTGCTACATTTTTCAAAATAATTACTGTCAAGAGCCAATAACCACGGTTTGTCCGCAAAAAAAAAGATTACGTGTAAAAAACCGAAATGTTCACACAGTACCTGTTATCTTCATTGTTTATGAAACAATTTTAACAAAATGGGAATCGAAATAGTTCCACATGCCCACGAAGGCTTGCATAGTTTTAAATCAATATTTTTAAAATAATCCAAATTAAATATTAGATCTCATGAAATAAAAAAAAATCTATATAAAAAAAATATGCAATATATTTTTTAAATAAATAAATATATTTTTTTATGTGACTAACCCATTCACAATGGCACCATCAATATATGTCGGAGTAATCGGACCGAAAATATTATTTTTAAACTTATTACTCGAAATCTTTGTTTTTTCGACGAACGCGCCGTGTTCATTGTCTCTTAAAATATAAAGAAATAACCCACCTGGTGTATACTTGTTTTATTATTTCATCGTCTAAATTACATTTTTTATCAACAACTATTTTTGTGCTGCCTGTTTTTGCGAGAACGCAAAATAAAAAAATCAAAACGATTTTTTTGTTGTCTTCCCACATTTTCCCAAACAGTTTGCTTTATAACTGATTTTCATAGACGCATAATAGATTATTTGATTTTATGATTGCTTCGTCAAACAAGAATAGATAGACAAAAGATCTATTATTATCGTCCAAAATTTAGAGCATCGTGTAAATATTTGCAGTAATTTTCAACCTAAGTCGTTCGAGATAATTTGAAGTGGTATAAAACAAGCTATGTGTGTGTCTATCATGTATGTAAACAAGGTTTAACGGTTTTCCTCTAATTTTGATTAGATTGAAAACATTTCTTTATAAATATGCGTCATCGTTCACGATTGCTAATATTTTTTATTCTTCAGACTTTCATAATTATTCATGACTTCATGTCATGACATTAAAGTTGTGATTTATTTTTTAAAACTATTTTTTCTAATTATTATAACTTTTATTGTTCAGATGGTTGTTTTTATTTGACCTAAATGTACCTACTTATATTTGATAAAACATTGATTATATTTAAGCCCGGTCAACGACGAAGAAACTACTAGACTAATCAATTCATTCATAATTAAGCCCTTATTTATTGCAAGCATTCAGATTGTGTTTTATATTAGGCAGATACTGCCTTGCATCGGCTGTCGCATTAAAGAGAACGAGACGATTGCTAAATTGAGTACGCGTTTTTCTACGGCGCTTGCTGTCACACTTCAAAATAAATGGAGTACTTTCCAGGAAATCACTTTCAACTATGATAGTTGCAACGAGAAAACTACATTAAACTGATAATAACTAGGTTAATGTAATTTTGAAAGCCTTTTGTGCGTGAGTAATACAGTGAATTATTGCAATTCGATTTTTTTAAACAAAATTGGTGTAGTAGTTGTCCGTCGTTGGGCCCGGTACTTTAATGAGCAGATTAATTTAATTTAACCTCAGATAAATGAAATATAGATAAGTAACCGGCACCGATCAATATATCGGATAATTGAAACGCCTTGTTTACATTGAATTTGTCTTTCCGACAGTACGCTCTTGCTATGTTGTCAGATCTCGTCCATCAAATATCCTGCATTAAATTTTTATTTAAAAAATGTACTCTTCCCTTTAATATTACCTATTAAAAAAGGGAAAAATAAAGAATTGAAAGCATAAATATGAGTTTTTTTATTCATTACAATCACTTAGATTTGTATATACACGTGTATCGAATGTGGACATTGAACATTCTGGTTCAAAACCTTTAAGTTTGGCAACCTAAGATATTCACGCCGATTTGATCGGTACCACCCATATCTGGGTAGCATTCCCCTATCCGCGTCCCCAGGTGGTGGATAGGGGAATGCTACCCAGATATGGGTGGTACCGATCAAATCGGCGTGAACCAAAATTGGCATTAAGGAGTAAACCTTAGGAAAAATCGGTAATCTAAGGTGTAAGACATCGTGCCAAGAGATGCATGGCTATACGGAGTTAGTCTCGAACGATTCCCTGTGAGAACCAGGCAACACTCACTTGTAATTAGCCTTGCCGTAGTAAGGGAGCACTGCTGCGGTGGACTTTTAGTTCTGCCCTACTCGTGGGAATTTATGGACACTGTTAATAACCCTAAAGAAGGTGGTGATGGGCCACCTAAAAACCCCTCAAATACATCACAGAGCCAAGAAAAGTGGAGAGTTACTCCTCGGTTCCTGGTCGTGAAAAGAAAAGATGGAAATAATTTTGAAAGTTTTAGCCCCTTTGTTTTGTTAAAAGTGCTAAATGGTCTTGTTGGAAATTTAAAAAATATTCGAAAAGTTAAAGAAGGATTATTATTAGAAACAATCTCAGAACCACAAGCGAAACGACTTCTTCAACTAGAAAAATTTGAAAACTATTCCATTACTGTGGAACCACATAACACATTAAATTACTCTAAGGGTGTCATTACCTGTAGAGATTTGCTCTATAGAAGAAATTAAAGAAGGCTTACAATCAGAAGGCGTAATTGATGCTGTAAGAATTAAAACTCAGAAAAATGGAGAAATTATTGACACTTCTAGTTTAATTCTAACTTTTAATAAACCCAAACTACCATTAAAAATTAAAGTCGCTTTTTATTCTCTAGATATAAGACCCTATATACCAAACCCCATTCGATGTTTTAACTGTCAAAAATTCGGGCATCTGTCCAAGTGGTGTACAGAGGTAAAATTATGTGTTTGTGGAAAACCACCCCATGAAGGACAAGCTTGTGATGACCCAATATGTGTAAATTGTAATGGACAACATCCCGCAAGGTCTAGGAAATGCCCACGTATGGTGGAAGAAATTAATATTCAAACCATTAAGACAACGGAGAAAATTAGTTACGGTGAAGCAAGAAGAAAAGTCAATGTAAATAAACCAGTTAGTGGATCATATGCGGATAAAGTTAAATCGAATGACAGTATTAACACAATTATAGAGGCCTTACTTCCAAAAATATCAATTCTAATTGAAAATCAATTTAAAGATCTACAAAAACAATTCATAACCGCCCAGACCACTCAACCCTCCACCTCAAACCTACTACCAATACTACCACAAATGTATCCAGAACAAGAACGAAATAAAAGAAAAAACTATGATTCTGATGATTCAGACATGTACACATCTCAAAATAGTGACATTTCAGCCTCATCTACTAATCCCAAACAAAAAAGGCCTAGAGGACGGCCGCCTAAGGATAAACATCGGTCAAGAAAATCCTCTATAGAAAAAGATTCTATAAATACTACTCAATCCAACCCCCCAACCTCGCCCTCCTTATTTAAACCTCCCCTTCATCCAACAGGAGATAAACCTCCTCCCGAGGAGAAAACAACTGATTGTAATATTTAACTAACTTATATTTACATTTATCTGTTATAAAGATTATTAGAGTTTACACTTCCCTATAACATTATTTTTATGCTACCATTCCAAAATATCTTACAGTGGAACTGCAATGGATGTAAACTCCATTATCCAGAGTTAAAAAACCCTAATAATCAGCAGAACACCTTTTTGCATTTGTATTCAAGAGTCCCATCTAAAACCAAACGAAACATTTAATCTAAGGGGATATAAAGCAATCAGATGTGATATTTATCCTGATCGCCGAGCAAGAGGTGGCATCATTACCTTTATTAAGGAAATGATACCATTTTCTATAATCCAACTAACAACAAACCTGCAAGCTGTAGCCATTAAGATCCGATACCCTTTAAATATGACTATTTGCAACATATACTTACCAGATGCAAACTGGACGACATTGCATACTACAACTGCCAAAGCCTTTTCTACTGATAGGAGATTTTAACGTCCATAATCCTTTATGGGGCTCCGAAAGAACATGTCCGGGTGGACGAATTATTGAAGACATAATTAATGAAAACGATCTAGTCATTTTAAATACAGGAGAAGGGACATACATTAATTCACGGTCAAATACTTTTTCATCAATAGACCTTAGCCTTTCAACTCCTGAAATAGCCCCTAACTTCAGATGGAGTGTTAAACATGAATGGAACACAGATCATATTCCAATATTAATTGAATTGGCAGATAGACTAATAAACAACAAATGTCAACAGCGATGGCTGCTAACTAAAGGTGACTGGCAACTATACGAGCACATTCTAGGCTCTTTAGAGATTTCAGGAACAACCACCTCGGACCAAGTGAATGAATTTACTAAAGCAATTCAGGATACTGCCGAAATAACTTCCAAAATCAAAAGGAATTATCACAAGAAAAAGAGTACCCTGGTGGAATTCTGATTTGGAAAGTGCTATTAAAGCCAAAAAAAGAGCAATAATATCTTTAAAAGGTCACCTACTACAGACAATATCATCAACTTTAAAAGGCTTAGAGCGAGAGCCCGATTCTTATTAGTAAAGAATAAGAAGGAATCCTGGGAGCAATATGTAAGTTCGATCAATACGGAAACTACTACTAAAGAAGTATGGGAAAAAATTAGAAAGATCAGAGGAAGAAATTTTACCGTGCCCTCTCCCATACTCGTAGTAAATGGACAAGAAATCACAGGTGAAGAAAACGTGGCTGAACAACTTGCCACTTTCTTTGAATCTACAAGCTCATCCACAAATTACAGCAACAATTTTAAACAAATCAAAGAGAGAAAAGAACGCAATCCTTTAAATTTTCAATCAATTGAGGAATTTTCTTGCAATCAACCATTTACCTTACATGAACTGGACCATGCTTTATCCACAGCTAAAAACTCTGCTCCAGGAAATGACCAGATCCCTTACAAACTGCTTCAAAAGTTACCTGAAAATAAAAAAATATTCTTACTTAATTTATTTAACCAAATATGGACTACTGGTATCTACCCGTCACAATGGACTGACGCTACTGTTATAGCAATACCGAAAACAGGAAAAGACTCACAAGACCCTTCTAATTACCGCCCTATTTCTCTAATATCTTGTATCGGTAAGACGCTAGAAAAGATGGCCAGTGTAAGATTACTCTGGTACCTAGAAAATAAAAATCTACTATCTAACTGTCAAATGGGGTTTCGTAAGGAAAGATCAACAATTGACCAACTGATTTTATTGGAAAACTACATTAAAAATAGCTTCATGAATAGGAACCACACAGTTGCAGTTTTTTTCGATTTAGAAAAAGCTTTCGATACAACATGGCGACATGGGATTCTAGAAACTTTATTTAAATGGGGTCTGCGGAGTGATTTGCCTCAATTCATACAAAACTTTCTAAAAGAGAGAAAGTTTAGAGTTCGAATCGGCCAAACTGTATCGGGAATGCACACTCTGGAAAATGGTGTCCCCCAAGGTTCGAATCTTAGTGTAGTCCTCTTTTTGGTTGCTGTGAATGGACTGGCAGAAGTGATTCCTCCTGAAGTGGAAAGCAGTCTTTACGTAGATGACCTTGCAATATATTACTCGGCTTCAAACATGCAAGATATCGTAAGTACCTTGCAAAATGCCATTAATATTATTACAGAATATGCAGAACAACATGGTTTTAGATTATCAACAAGTAAAACTCATTGCATGCACTTCTGTAAGCTAAAAAAAGACCACCCAGAACCCAACCTTACTTTGTATGGAAATATTATAGAAGCGAAAACATCAATCAGATTTTTAGGCCTTATTTTCGATAAGAAATTATTGTGGAAAGAACATATCGATGATCTTGCAGCAAAATGTAAAAATAGACTAAATATACTAAGAACTATATCCAGCATTAAAAGGGGCTCCGATGTAACAATTTTAATAAATTTATATAAATCCTTCATTCTTTCTAAGATAGACTACGGCTCCATTATTTATGGGTCAGCAAGTGAATCTAATTTAAAATCATTGGAACATATTTAGGCCACTTGCTTAAGACTTGCCCTGGGGGCTTTCAGGACTAGTCCATATCTGTCATTATGTTGCGAAGCTGGCATACCCCCACTCCGATTCAGAAGACAATTTCTGAATACGAATTACTTTTGTAAAATTCTCTCTAAACCCGAACATCCAGTTTACAATATTGTCTTCAATAACGAAACCAGCGATTCATATCATACTCGACGTATTAGCAGTCTTCCATACACTATTCGGTCAATGAACTTAGTAAATTCTTTGGAAATAAATATGCCAGAACCATTTACCACTCCATGGCAAGCAAAAAAAAACTAAAATCTATCTAAATTGCAAAAAATTTAATAAGTATGATACTCCCAAAGATATAATAAACAACGAATTTAAATGTTTACTCGCCAAACTAAATAACCCCTTAGAAATTTACACTGATGGTTCCAAGACTATAACAGGAGTAGGCAGTGCTATTGTTATAAATGATCACTCATTTTCTTGGACACATTATACTTGGGCTAGTGTATACTATGCAGAACTCCACGCCATAATGGAAGCTTTGAAATTTATAGAAACCAATAACATTCGAAAAGCAGCGATATGTTCAGATTCACTTAGCGCTGTAGAATCATTAAAAAACGTTGACATCGAAGATGCACTTACGATAGACATAACTAACAAAATTTATAGTTTGGAGACTACAGGAGTAGAGATATTTTTATATGGATTCCCAGCCACATAGGTATACGCGGTAATGAAACAGTGGACGCTGCAGCAAAGCAAGCTGCAAATTCTAACACTACTGCTTCACCAGAATATTCTACAGAAGATCTAAAAAATTATCTAAAAAACAAGATCATTAACAACTGGCAAATAGAGTGGAGTCAAAATAATAATTTTCTAAAACAAATACAATCTACCATTCAACTAAAACCAACCTTATATGCACTACCAAGACGAAAAGACCAGGTCGTAATGACGAGAATCAGAATAGGCCACACTCACTTAACATCTTCATATTTACTTCTAGACAGAATCCCACCTCTTTGTGAATGTGGTATACAGCAGACCGTTAAACATTTTTTGTTGGAATGTAGACGCGATACATGTAACCGTCAACAAGCTGGATTGGCCAATGATATGACCACCTGTACTTCTACCACGGTAGAACAGCTGAAGACTCTTGACTTTCTAAAAAAGAATGAACTTTATTTCAAAATCTGACCACGAAAAAAAAAATCTAATATAACTTAAGAGCTAATGACCCTAGCAGTCGATGCTCAAGAAAAAAAAAAAATAATAATAATAATTAACTTTTATTTTTATTTGCTAATTATATATTTTTTTAACAATGATCTAGAATAACAAATTAGAAATTTAGCACTTTCAAATCAAAGGGAGTTTACCTCCGTTTAGGGGTTGTAATTTATACTTGCAATCATCTTTATTGTAAACTCTAATTTTACCAATAAATCAAAAGCATAATATGTTAATATTATGTAGAATTCTGCAACAACTACATCAGCGTGTAAATGGCAGTTGAATAGTAAAGTTATGTATTGATATCATCCAATGAACTGGAGTGGGGTAAAATGCTTGTCAATAGGCTTGAGATGCGACTCTATGGACATTTTTCATCTTACTCGGGAGTATTTATAATAACCATTTTCTATTTCACATTATGTTTGTTCCAACTTGGTGTTTGGTACCGTTCTTGTATCATACCAATATCGGTTCATGAACGATGTATTGCGCAAGCGCATCTCTGAATGGTTTTGGAATCGGAGATGAGTTGGAACGCATTATTCCAACTCGATACAAAACCATTCAGTAACCGTACACCGCATGCGTATTACATTCCTAGCGTTCCAACTTAATTTGTACGATGTGCGGGTTGATACAGAATTCACTAAAAAATTGATTCCAGAATCGTTTCTGTACCGTCATATCGATTCACATATTTTTGTGGAACTGTTAGACCTGACTTGCGCAGAACGAACGATATATGTTGATATAGGTTAGTTTTAGTTAAGTTAACCTACAAATTAATAACCATTTGATGTCTTGATAGGTAAATGAGAACACGATACCTATACATTTTTATTTAGAAAATACTGTTTATAAAACAATATTTGAATTTACCGGATTTAAAACAAGAAATTCGGACACAATTACTGAGAAACAAGTATTGCATACAAATATAAACTTAAATTATGTTCTCTAAACAGTCTAAACAAATAAATGTGACCTAAAATCTAGAATGATAAAATAAAAAAATCATTAACATCAATAAAACAGAACTTTTATTTTGCTTTCGAAAAGTTTGGTTAGAATTTTCTTCTCCTTTTATATTCTCTATTTATGGACAATCAACAGTTTTAAAAGCATTCCAACTCATTTCCGATTCCAAAACCATTTAGAGATGCGCTTGCGCAGTACATCGTTCATGAACCGATATTGGTATGATACAAGAACGGTACCAAACACCAAGTTGGAACAAACAATGTGATACAGAAAATGGTTATTATAAATACTTCCGAGTCAGATAAACAATAAAGATTGTTGCGCCCATAGATTCGCACCTTGTTTTATTAAAATAGCGTCTTCGATTCCACTGCCCTGCCTGCGTGGAGTGTACATATCGATATCGATACCGGTTACATTTCAGACTGAAAAGTAACTGTATTGACATATCTCCCACCTTTCGTATGCAAGCCGTGCACTAGATTCGAAGACGCTATAATACCTACAACATGTACATTGGCATTCTACCACACTCCAGTTCATTGTTATAATCGAGAATCGAGTAGTAAACAATGACGTCACGAGTGACGTTTTACTAGTGGATAATTTTTTAGGATCGCGGCAGGTTAACGTGTGGCTAGTCACCGCCATTTTTTTTATGCGTGTGTAGGTTTTTGTATGCTTTCATTAGTACCCAATTTAAATTAAATACTTTACCTACTTAATTTAATGTAGATTAAATGTGTACGAAAAAAGTGTCACTAGATGACAGTTGTTTAAGGACGGGGTATCCCTGTGTATAAAAATTGTATGTGTAGACCAAAAGTTAAATCGACAGTTTTTCAAATATATAGTGTTTAAAAATCTAATTTTTGGCCAAATTAAAAATAAAGGTCTAACTTAGGTCACCTTACTATTGAAAATTAATAAATTTATTATTTTCAATAAAAACCAATCATGTAAAATAACCCCCTTTTATTTCATCTCAAAGGTGCCGTGTAGAATTATTTTAACCTCGATGTCAAACAAATAATAAAAAAAAAATGTAATACGACCTAAGTTCAACCTTTACTTGGAATTTGGTACACTCAGAATATTTAAATATTGTATATTTTTCAAAACGTGTAGATTTGAAATTTATAAGTCACTTTCTTTGAAAAAACATGTCAAAACGAATTTGGACCAAAAATGGCGTCTAATTTAACTCTAAATAAACCCCGAAAAATCAATAATTACTTCATGTAATGTAATAAAGATGGTGCTCCGATCGATAATATTTTGACTAGTATTTGATTATTTCCGTTTATATTATGTGTGTTTACGGGGGATATACGAGATGATAATATTGCCTCTAATACTGTTTATATGATACAATTGGAAACGACCTTTTTTCATCGGCACTCTTTTTTCTGACCTTTTGACACGCGCCTATTTGTTATATGATGTATGATTATCGGTTATTTATCAACTAAAAGAATAGGAAATTAGTACATTGTGAATGATAATATCATTTTAATGCTATTTTTGATACTAGTTCAAAAGTTGCATTTAACGATACTCAATGTTTCATTTTACCGTCAGTTTTAGTTTGACATATCCGTCATTTTATGTTTACAAAGCTCAGTTTCTATTCGAAAGTAAGAGAAACAGTCAATATAAAATGCGAAAAACACTTTTTATCAATTTCGTTTATGTCAACTGAAAGGACAATTGCTGAAGACGTAACAAATAAATTAGGTCGAGAAATAAAAAATCTATACTATAAGTAACATACCATATATTATGCCTGTTAAAATAAATCAAAAATAAGAGAT